GGGGGGTTAGGGGAAGTGGTAGGGGATGACATGACATTGCAACATGCTATTGAATGTGATGGTAAAAAAAAACATGACACATAGAGCTAAATGTAACTTAATATGGTATACATTCAGAGCAAATAATGAAAAATAGATAACAAATGTGCAGGTCAAGTATTTTGGACAAATATGTTGCATTATGGGTAGGTTTTTAAATATGCATTACACATATTGCTGTGTGTTTATGACAGATCATCTATTTCTGAAGAAAGAAGCTAAAGAGCAATTGTCTTACCTCTACAGGAGGCGTGGCGTGGGCCAGCTCTAGGGCAAAGTTCTCCGCCACGTGATTGGAGGAGATGGTGACCAGGCTGTTGAGGGACTGGCGGCTGTGGTGGCTCTGCTTGCTCCCCAGGGTGCCTCTGTCGGGGGCGGGGGAGGCTGATGGGGAGCGAGGGTGGGCTCTCACAGGCAGAGTCCCATTGACCGTGGGGACCAGGGTGATGTCCGCCTTGTGGATCTGCCTGGCGGGCTTCTTGGGGTGGTTCTGGTAGCTGCTCTCAGCCACACGGCAGTTGTAGTTGTGTCTCGGATCTTTCTTCTCACGGTTGCAGCGAGCAGTGGCAAACATCACCATGACGATGAGTAGCAGAGCACAAACAGCGCCCAGAGAGATGATGACGATGAGGGAGAGATCCAGCTGGGCCTGACTGGAGCCTGTGGGGTAGAGGGGGGGCAGGATGTCCATGTTCTCCTGCAGCGACAGCCTGAAGAGGGCCCCTGTGGCCAGGCGGATGGTGCCCCTGTCTTGCACCTCCACCCTGATTTCCATCACTTCCCGTGGAGCCTGTTCCAGGCTGGCATTGGTTCTGAGCTCACAGCGCCTGGCGTCCATCACAAAGAGCCTGTCCTCGTTGCCACCGACGATGGCACAGCTAATCTCTCCGTTGGTGCCGGTGTCGCGGTCTGTGACTTTGAGTACCGTGATCAGCTGACCAGGTGATGCATACTTCCACACGGACAGCTCGGCGGTGTGATTCCGGAGGGAGGGGGAGTGGATTATGGGCGGGTTGTCGTTTTCATCCAGAACAGTCAAGAGGACCGTGGTGTTGGTGGACAACACTGGGTTCCCCCCGTCACGGGCCTGAACGGTGAAGGCGATCCGACTGACGTCTTCATGGTCAAAACTGCGTAAGGCATAGATGGCGCCATTAGAAGGGTCAATGGTGACATAGGTGGAGATGGGGCTCCCCTGAACCAGAACGTCTACGATGCTGTAGGTGATCTGGCCATTGGTGCCCAGATCTGGATCTGAGGCCACCAGGGTCATGAGGTATGCTCCAGGAGAGTTGTTTTCTGATTTAAAGACCTCGTAGCGGCTCTTTTCAAAACGTGGGGGATTGTCGTTTTCATCCAACACCTGAACGGTGAAGTGTTTGATGGTGGAGAGGCTGGGGGAGCCCCGGTCCTCTGCTATGACGGTCAGACTGTACTCTGACCTCTTCTCCCGGTCCAGCGATACATTAGTGAGGATCATGTAGTTCTTCTCGTAGGTCTTCTGGAGTCTGAAGTGTCCATGGCCGTGCAGCCGGCACACCACCTCCCCATTCAGCCCAGCGTCGCTGTCATCAACACGAACCAGAGCTATGAAGGTGTCCACTGGGGCCCCCTCTGAAATGTAGGCCACTTCCTCTTTGCCAGGCGTCATCAGGTTGATGTTTATCTCTGGTTTGTTGTCATTTACATCCACCACTTTAACAACAATTTTGCAAAGTCCAGGGATGGAATTAGGGCCCTGGTCCTGAGCTTGAACATCCAGCTCATAGGAAGCAGTGCTTTCAAAGTCCACTTTTTTAATAAGGGTAATGTGGCCACTTTCTGGGTTTATCTTAAAGGTTTCCAAGATCTTTGGTGAGACATGGCTGCTGAACGCGTATACTATTTTCCCATTAGTGCCCTCATCTGGATCTGTGGCGTTTAAATCAATGATTAGAGTCCCTAGGGGACAGTTTTCCAGAAAATTGATCATATAAGCCTGCTCATCAAAGACTGGGCTGTTGTCGTTGGAATCCGAGATGCTGATCTTGACCAAAGTTGAGCCAGACTTTGGAGGAACACCATTATCGGAGGCCGTTAGCTGGAGCTGGTAGTTTTGTTGCACCTCCCGGTCCAGGTCCCTCATCACCACCAGCTCTGCGTACTTGGCCCCATCCGTCCGTGTCCTCACCTCGATCTTAAAGAAGTTATTGGGTGTAAGGGAATATGTGTTCAGGGAGTTTTCCCCGACGTCCGCATCCACTGCGCCGTCCAGCGGGATGCGGGTCCCCACGGATGCGCTTTCCGAGATCTCAATAGGGACAATGGCGCGGGAGAAGTGGGGGGAATTGTCGTTGATGTCAAGAACCTCCACTTCCACATGGAACAGCTGCAGGTACTCCGTGGGGAGTGTGACCACATCAAATTCAATCGAGCAGTTCACATTTTTCTCACAAAGCTTCTCACGGTCGATTTTGGTGCCAATGCTGATCTCCCCGTCCTCCTCCCGGACAGAGAGGAACGGCGTACTCCCTCGTTGCATTGCGCGGAACCGAAAGGTCAGGGAACCCGGTAATTTGGATAAAACCCCGGCAACATCTTCCTTTAACCGTGCAATCACCGTCCCCACTCTCTGCTCCTCATAAACTTTATATTTCAAAGTCTTACCGGTGGCACCGCGCGTAATCGCGACCAAAAGCAGAAGCTTGAACAGTGCCGAGGAGAAAATAATTCCTTTGGTTTGTTTCATTGTTCCCCTCATCTTCCGTGCACACACTGTGGCGAGTATTTTCCACAGAAGGGAAAGTCCGATGAGAGGGGGGGGGGGGGGGTTTTCTTAGGCGTCTGGCATGTTGAATGTTAGATCCTCCGCTGCTGCTCACACCCGCAATAAAACTCAAAAAACAGGTAATAAAACGATAATATAAATAAATAAATAGATAAATAAATTAGTAAAATGTCCTCTTTTGGAAAAGAAAACCACACAAAAGCAGAGAGTGGCGATATCCTTGCAGACAGATCTGTTGCATACGTCCGTCTCCTCGTGTGTGTGCGCGCCACTGAATGAGTGAGAGTGTGTGTCTCCGAGAAGAAAAGACGCAGCTTTCTCTCTGTGTGTGAGAGAGAGAGTGAGTGTGTGAGCGAGAGAGAGAAGGAGGGAGTGTGTGCGCGCGCCTCGCTCTGTGCGCTCTGCCCGCCCCGCACCCAAACTGCGTCTCTCTTCCACACAAAAGTACTCCCCCCCCACCC